ATTTTTTTACTTCTGAGGCTACCTGCAATGAATCAGTAGAGGCTAATGGGGTTTGTTAGTCTGATCTCTGCCTCAGTTACAAGGCAATGGCAGCTCTAGCACTGGAGCATGGGTATAAGGAAGTCTGGCAGACAGGCAGCAGTTTAATACAAGCACTTCAGTCTCTGTTCAGAAGTGAATCCCATGTTTTCAAATGTCCTGCACTACACTCCTCAGACTGCCTTCCATTAGCCCTCTATCGGGGTGACCAGGTAGAGAAGAGCTGAAAACATTTGGTTTGGTTGGTGATCTTTTTATTTTACTTAGGTAAGGCCACTGAATTTCCCCTGTTAATAATTGTCTTCTTTCCCCATAAAAATTTTATGCAGACATCCAGCTTCAGAAGTGCTGTAGCTTTATCCAGGATGCTGTATATGAAGGAATCCTGGACATGTCAATTACACATGTTAAGGATCAGCTATACACCACACGTATCAGAGGTTTACCAGAAAGCATCACATGCATAGCACATGTAACATGACATGATGTACCTGCTGGCAAAATGTGGGGAGAGACTTACCATACATGCACATTAAGGCATATCCATAAGCTTTTTTCCCCCCAGATTATAGAATTACACAGTATATACAGAAATACCTTATCCAGGGAAAAAAAGAAAAAAAAAAAAAAGAAAAAAAAATCAAAGCTTTTCCTGTACAATGGATACATCAAAATTCCAGGATTTACAGGACAGATGGATACACTACATGAGATGCATGGCTGCATCTCACAGGTGTAGTATATCCAATACTTTTGCAGTAAGTATGGGACTTACTCTTCCTATACTACACCTAATAACACATGATTTCTCCCATAGGAAGTCCTAATAAACATATAGTCCCTAACAGACTGATTCCAGGATGACACATGGAACTGAATGATGTAGCCAATCACATTAGAAGCAGATTCACTGTAATTTCCATAAAGCCAGCAAGTACACAAGTACTTAAAAAAAGAGCAAGGTGACGGCTTCTCGTGTGTTCAGAGTTGACCTCAGCGAGGTACAGAGCACAGCCAATTTTCTCAAGTGCCACTCAACTTCAAAAAGGTTGAGAACCACTGATTTAGAAGATCATACATATTTATTTCAGTCCTGCCTTCTGCTTCTGCGCAGGTTCATTTTGAATCACGGTTTAGTGATGGTTTAATCAAGAGCACAATTACAAAGCAAAAAGAATTCATGTTAGAAGTGACGAAAGCGGGTAATAAGAGCTGAAGGTAACCAGTACCTTTGCGAGTAAGATTTTAAGGGGGCATAAACACCTGAGAGCAATGCTGTGTCCTGGTGACAGAGATACATACAGAAGAGGTTATGAGGGAAGAATGGAGAATCCATAGATAAACTCACTGCTACTCCTTAGCCCTCCAGAGAAGGCCTCCATAGCACTGTTACCCTGGGCCACAGAGCACCAGCTGCTAAAGAAACAGCAGGACCCAACATCAGAATGGAGCTGAAAGAATCAATATGCTTAAGCTTTTAAGGTGCTGAAATACTACAACATTAAGATCTCATCATGAAGATCCTCATTCCCTTCCATCTTGGGCAAAGATACACATTGTGTAGATTCTTATTACAAAGCAATAAAAGCCAGAGGAAGAAGCTTTTACCATCACTGTCTTTGCCTAATGTAGATGAGCACTTGCCTCTCCCTGCCTGCAGCACACATCCTACTCAGACGGTGCACTTTGTCAGTGCTCCCACTACAGGACTACATCGGATTAGCTGAAAAAAAATTACACTATTTGATGTGGAAAAGAAACAAATTATATAAATACACAGGTTTTTTCCTCCATGTTTTGTAAAGATTCAAAATACGTCAAGTACCCTAATGGAAAGAAAAGATTAGGGAAAAGGGAAGAAGATAACGACAAGGGAGAAAAAAAAAAGCAAAAAACAATAAAAGATCAATTTGCAGTATCACCATGTTTTTTTGAAAGCTGGAAGCCATTTGAATTACAAACAAGCAAACAAGAAAAAACAGACGAGATAGGTGTAGAAACTGCAGAGCTCAAATTAAAGTTAAAATAATTCAAATGTTACGACTAATAAGCACATGGTTATGATTGTGAGAGTGTCTAACCTAATAGGGTTAGGTATTTACCTTAGCCAGAGTATACATAGTTCAGGTTCCCTAATGACCTTAGCCATGCTCTGTAGTGAAAGAGTAAAATTCTGATTACACCTGAATTCAAATTACTATATACAGGAACAGCTAAATTATTTTTCTCAAGTGCCATTGAAAAGACAAATAGTAAAAGGTCAGATAATGAATATTTAATTTAAATTATTAATTTTAAGTATACATTGTAACAAGCTAAGAGATTTTCTTGAAAGTTCACTGAAGTCACTCAAGACTCAACAAATGCTGAGAGTTTGAGACAAGTGTTTTTTTTAATTGGTTTCACTAAAAAAAAGAAATTAAAAGTTGACAATAAAATAATTACCAAAAATTTCACAACAGATATTTTTAAACAGTTACTTTGGAGATGCATCTGAATTTCACTGAATTAAATATGTTGTTTCTTTAGTTGTCTGGGGTGCAATAGGAAAGCTCAGACAGCGGCAGAGCATTGTGAAAACAATCGTCGGTAAAAATTGATCCAGAACGCCATTATTTTTAGGACTGTGGGTTTTCTGGGGCAAGAACCATCTCTTTGTTGGCATCACATTAAGCATAGTAGTTCTGTCACCAACCAGCCCTCCCAGCCATGGCAAGAAAGATAACGGATTACTTACTTAGTGCATAGACAGAATGGACCAGCTAGATTTTCCTCCTGAAGAGAAGGTCTAGCCTAATGGAGAAAGCATCCGTCCAAAGCACTGACAGAAACCACCGAGACCACCCCCAAGCCCTTAACGTAAGGTAGGTCCCCCTTCTGACTGAGGATTTAGCACAATTTCTGCTCAGAAAAAAATCATATTTCTCCTCCTCACAAAGACTGTTGGACTCCTCGTGGACTTCATTTTCCAAATGTATTTGCAACCGCATGTTTAATTTCTGTGCAAAATTACTGTGATTGTGTGTGAGTGCTTAGCTAGCCATTTATGCCGGTGCATATCTCATTTTCATACATAATTACATGTAAATTATGCATAGGAATTATGCATCTAATTACACACACATTTTTTTAAAGTCAACTCTGTTGAATCGCATGACTTCTTTTTCACACAAGGCATTTTTGATCCAACTCGATTATGTAATTTCTGACTGAGAAAGAATATCATAACCAGAAGTTTGAAAAAAAATCAAGAAATCGCTTCCTTTTTATTCCTTAGATGTATTAATATTCTTCCCTTGCCTTGTTATGCCATCAGAATAATCACATCCAACAAATGTCTTCTGCATGTACCAAAAATTTCACTTTGTGATTTAATTATTTCAAAAGCAATTGACTGTTTATACTGTATGCAGTCCTTTGTATTTTATTTAAAGATTAATATTACTTTTGTTTTCTTCACTATACCAAGGAAATTAATGTCAGTATGTTTATTCTGAGTAAGGGAATCTAGCACAGGAGACTCTGATCTACAATTTAGGGCCCCTTTGTGCTACAATAAAAATAGTGATGATATCAACAAACCATATTAATTTTTAATTTCAGGAACTGAACCCTCTATTCCTATTTTTTTAATGAGAAGTATCTTGTTAAAACATCAACAAACCCCAAACTCAATAAACTCCACAGTCTGGAAGCAATAAAACCTTAAACTATCTGGATTAGCAGAGCCTGTAACACCTGACTCTCATTTAGCACTACAGAGATCTTCTGTCACTGAACCCATCTGACAAAGTAACAGAACTCAGTTCTAAAAGTAGAGCATGCTTAATTTAAAATATTACAGTGGCATTGGTAATGAACTATCTATTTGTGATATCTGAGCCTTTCAATTATAATATTATTTGCAACATTTATTAAGAATCTTTGACACTTCTGCTATAATGAGAAAGGCTTGAAATTCAGCAACAGAAACTTTTTCCCTTTAAAGATCCCACATAGCTTCTGCCAGGGTAAGCTCATGAAAAAGATACCATCCCCCTCTCTCTTTTTTTCCAATCCAAGAAGCAGTGTATGAAAAGAACAGTAACTCGGCACAAATGTTGAGAGTCTGTAACCCACATTGTGACAAAAGCAAACTAATAGGGAACATTCAGGAGCTGACAGAGCAGCCTTCATGGAGGTGTAAGGGAAGAAAAAGCTGAAGCAGGATCCTCACGACGACTCATTTGGACACATGGACTGAGGAGACAGTGGCTCCTCTTCATTTTTGGAAGTACAAAAGAGCTGTGCCAAGTCAGTCTCTCTAAACATAGCACTCAGACTGTGAAACTTGACTCTATCTTTCACTTCTGGATAAGTCTTTTCTGGACAACTGTGAACTTCAGTGACAGCAATCTGCTTTGCTTTGCTAAAGGGTCAACAAGGATTTAGGTGGAGAAACTTATGCTTTTAGTTTTCTCTCTCAAAAGTAAATCTCTAACATGGTGTATGTACACTACTACGTTAAGGTAAAATTACTGAGGTTGCAAGTCAAAAGGGTTAAAGTTACTTGTGAAAGTTTATTTTTACTCCCTTGTATGTCTAACAGTCTAATTAGACAGCATGCCACAGTCAGTGCACAGGTTAAATTCACAGCAGGACAGAATTAAGTTTGCATGATCAGCTATAAACCTGCAATTCCCTTATATACACTTAAATAACTTCACACTACACTTAAGTAAGTTAAAGCAATAATTTACATGTAATTTAGAAATATGTTACAAAGAAAATATGCATGTAAAAGCACCAATAGATTTGCCTGGAAGGTACTCAAATGTAAAATAATCCTTGCTACTTTTAATTCATAAGAAGTATAATTAATCTCAGTGCATATAACTGAATGTCACTGTAGGGGATACACACTCAAAAGAAATCATTGTACCACATTGTGCCACTCCCTTAAACACACTTTTCTCCACCAGGCTTCGGAAGTCTCCATCCAGGAAGAGAGAAGTTTCACCTCATCCCACAGAAATCTACCATGGGAAGTTACAGGTGACAACACACATGCACCAAGTGAAAGTCCAGCCTTCCACAGCTAAGATAAATAGTGATCATACTGCAAGGCTTTGAAGGTAGGAGAGTGCAAACAGCCTGAAAGATTTTGCTGTATCAGTAAGGGGTACAACTTCTTGGGTTCTCATGGACTTTAGGATCTGTGAAATGTTAGCTAGAGCTGAATGTTCTAAGCTGGTCTGTGCCTTCAAGAGAAAACAAACAGGAAAATGCATAACTTTTTTTTTTTTTTTTTTTTTTTTTTTTTTGAGAGAGAGAGAGAGACTGAGAGAAGGGTTGTAATGGGAACAAAATGCAGTTACAGTGAGTCCACAGCAGGACTTTTCTATATAGCCACACTGTCACAAATCCAAGAGAGAAAACCAACAGTTGGCTGAGTGGAACATTTTGCAGCTGCCAGCAAGGCATGATTTTGGGTACTGTCCGTGGGTTGCACATCAGTCATCTGATGTGATGTTAATGTCACAGTGGGAACCCATTTCTGAATGACATCCCAGCAGCAGGCCTTGATTCAGCTTTTCTGCCAAGGGAGAAATTTACCATAAAACAGTTTTCAATGGAAGTCAATATGTAATTTGTAAGGAAAAGCTTGTGAGCTCTTGGGTAATGACTGCATTAGCTTTTCTTCTTTGGAAAGCACCCATTGCACTGTGGATATACAGTAAGAGACAGCCAAAGGAGGAATCTGTTCATGGTATGCGTTAAATGTATTTGTGAAGGGCTCAACAGAATGGGTGCTAATGTAAAAAATAACAACACAAACCACAAAAGCCACAAAATCCCTTTACCTTACAGCACAGTGGCTCAAAAAATATGATTCTGTCACTAGGGGTCAGTATTAAAGCATATTACCTTTACACAATGCAGCTAGCGGCATTCTATTGTTGATTCCCTCCTTCAGAAACACAAACTTACGTTATAAAGAACAACTATTAAACCGTAAAAAAGACAAAACCCATACAATGGATTATTTCCTATTTCTGTTCTTAAATGTAGCTTCCATGTACTAGAAATTTTGGTTCCTGTTCTCATGATTTAACACGTATATTCACACAAATGTATTATCTTATGTAATACCGACGCTTTAATATTGATCCATTTATGCGAATTAGGTTCCATCTACAGTCTCGAAAGAAAAAAGCTGTGATTAAGTTTCCCGTTTTCTAATAGGGAAGATTACTACCTAGTGATATTATCACCTAATGGTAACAATCATTACTTCCTAACGACAATAACAAAATTTGAAATGTAAGAAAACTGGGCGTTCTTTAAATTTATTCCTTGGCAGCTACACCTGTCTTAAAAAGAATAAAAATCTGTTGTGGATACTGAAAAAGTCCATTTAAAAATGTGAAAGACTCTCACTACACATAAGCATTATCCACATGGAATAGACTGAGGATATGTTATTTTGAATCATTAGATCAGTATCTGAATTTCAGCTTGGAATAGATGCAACACCCACTGAAGTTAAGGGACTGACTCACTTTCTTATTACTGGGCACTGCTCATAACCAGTGAGTTCCCAACCTATCTTCCCATCCCCAGCCTACTCCCAAATCTTGGAAATCTTAATACATGTAAGAAAGCATGTATTCTGATGCTGCAATAATGCCTGTAACTGCCTATATAGACATACTTTTGCTTACTTAAATAGGTCCACTGATTCTTGGAAAGAAGTAAAGAATTAGAAAATTAAATAACTATTCTATGATTCTATGATTTAAATATATAATATTTAATATATAAATAAATCAAGCCTGCCTTGACCTTGCAATTTTTAGGATGATACTTCACTATCTCAAATCCAGATAGAATATTTAGAAATAGGTAATGTGACACTAATGATAAACCCCAGGAGAAATATTCTGACAGATCATAAGTCTGTCATGTACCACAATTTCCTGCAGCCCTTAATGCAGCTGAACCAAAAAACATCCCTTTCCTTCTTCCCCCAGACCAAACTCTAACTGAATGCTATAAATTTTGCACTTAAAGTAAACAATTTAAGACAAATATTATTGAAACTGTTGATTAGTTTTCATGTCCAGTACAAAGCTCTAAATTTCAGAGCATATGTTTTTCTTTAGTGGTAAGTCCATTAGGTGCCTAGAATTCAGACATTGCCAGATTTATGAAGAAAGCTATTAGAAATGGCATTTGTGCTATGACAATACTGAAGAGCTAGTCAAATTAATGTCTAACTGGTACACTTAAGAGCTTATTTCTATGTGTTACTTCTAACATATAATATTTATATTTAACATGATTAGCTTAGCCTAAATACAGGAAAAGCAAAAATAATTGATTATACTTTAAATGGGAAAAAATAGGCAGAGTGTGAAGGAAAACGTTTGCTCTGGAGCGAGTTGTGTAGCACAGAAGGATTTGTTTTTCTGACCAATAGATGGCACTGCTGTTTCTTTGTTTGCGTGTAATTTTTCAATCCGTGCATAATGTACGTTATTGAAGTGACTATGCCTACATTTCCCGGTGCTTGGACACATCAAAACCAGACAGATTTCAGAGATTCTTTAAAACGGCATTCTGCTGTCCAAATAACTGTATACAGTTTTCAATAAAGCAACTTAGTGTTCTGGATTAAAAAATGGGAAAAGGATGCAAAACCCTAGCTGAACATAATTCTCTTCTTCTCAGAAGCAGACCACAGAAACAAATTCTGACATGTATCAAGGGTGATGTTGGAGTTATACAAGAGTAACATAACAAAATGATTTCTTTGTTGTATGTTAGAATAAGTACACAGGGTTTTAAACTGCAATATGCTCTGCAATTTTATTTTTATTTAGCCTAATTATTACCAAGCTTATGAAGAATTTATCATTAAAAAAAATCTGTCATTACTTTCAGATAAAATCCTGATAAAAGCATCATCTGTGGTGTCAGTCTGTAAACTAATGAGGCTTTTGACTACCATACTTTCTTCTGTGGGCTACTCAAGCATGACACACTACCAGCTCTGCAGCAAAAATTTGAATGCTGAAATATTTTAGAAGTTATTCATAGTAATTTTATGTGGCCCAGTAGATATCATATTGAAAATCTGTGTTTTCCAGTAAACCTGAAAACTCAAAACAGTTTGTATAGGACCCATGTTCTCTTCTGCTCTAGATCTTTGGCTAAAATACCATGGGGGGCAGAGTCATTCATGAATTTATTTATTTTTGCCAAATTGTGGTTGCTTGGGGACCTGTGTGAAATGACAGGCTGGTCTCCGTCCCGTTTGTCGTGAACAGGTGTTCTAATTACAAAACCTCCACCATATTTGACACCTTTATTAGCTGTCTCAGTTGAGAAACAAAGGATTGATTGGGTAGAGGTATAGAACTAGCCTTTCATTGCTGTGGGGAAGCACCTAAAGGTCAAGGTTAATATACATTAGTGGGGGGTAGTATTGCCCATTGCCTATGCTGTTCTTGTGTTATTAATCAATGGAAGACTTTATCCTTAGGAGCTGGCTATTGTGGGAGCCTTAGCGACACAGTGTGGTTAAATTTTCTTTTTTCTTTTATTTTTCCATATTACAGGAAAACCAGACAACGCTTCTTGAGCAAATATTCCTAACAAGAACAACAAATCTCCAGCAAAAATAGCAATGTTTTGTACTCTCCTTACATTCTGTTATGTATACTGTACAAAACAAAAGGGCAAGGTACACATTCTTCAATCGATATAATACATGCAAAAATGCTCATGAACTGAAATATGGCAGAAGACATGTAGATGAGTTCAACAAGATTGATTTTTTGGGTGGTAAAAAGTAAAAACATTTATAGTAAATAGTCTTCCTCTTTACTGTAGTCATTTTGTTCTTGCCACATAAGGTCTACCTGCTACTACTAGCTTTATGATTTAATATTCTTGGAAGGTTTATAACCAGAATCTAATATATAACCAATAAAAGGACACTAGTCTCATTAGTCTCATTTGGGACTAGAGTACTGTCAACATAATGACACAGCAAAGTCACGTTATTATAAAAGCATATCAGCATCTTCATTATATATACACTTATTTTCAGTGGTTTACAAGACACTCAGAGAAAATATTCCAGGATGAAATATGATTATGGTAACTCAATCTGGAATCCATTTTCTCCAAACTATTTTTTTTCCTATTATGAGAATGTAAAATAAATATGGGCCAGATAGTCAGTGAGCTGGAACTATACCAATTTGTATCAGCCGAGGGTTCAACTCTGTATATTCATTCATAGATCCTAGTCACACTTGGACCCTTCTATGACTTATTAATGGTTTTGATTTAGAAATGAAGCTTTGAAGTAATTATATAGTCACATGGCATTCATCCAATATACATATTTATGTAAATTATTGCTTCCTGATTTTCACAGAAGACCTGTGATTAGATTATCTGGTTCTTCCATATTGTACTTGGAGTTGTACTGCAAAGAGAGAGCAGTATATATAAGCCACCTTTACAATTTCTTGACTGCCCAGCAAGAAACAAATACGGAGTTCATTATAATGCAGAGGAACAGAGGCAGCTATTTCCCTGCCTGAGGTCTCAGAGAATTGTTCTAGCAGTTGAGCTAAACAATGTCCTGACTATCTCCTTGGCAAAAGGAACTGAATGAGTTGGCATAAGCTGCTATACCAACTCAAAACTCTCCAGAGATTTCCTTTTCACAATATGAAGCCTCAAAGGGCTGCTCTACGAAAAACAGCTGTAGCAGAGCTGAAAGTTTGACCCCTAAACTCCAGTACTGTGCTCTTTTTATGTGTGTATGACTCCCACTGACACCAACTGAAGAGTCATGCACATGAGAAGAGCAGAATATCAGACAAAAAAATCTATGTGAATCTGAGAACAGAGTTTTATTCTCTTGTGTCAAATTATGGCTCCATCTGGTAACATTAAGTGAATACTGGTGACTGTAAGAGCTGAATCAATGAATTGAAACAAATAATTTATTTGGTGAGTTATTTTACTTTTTCACTTCAAAGAATGCCTGTGAATGGATTACAACTTCCTTAAGTATATTCCAGGAAACTTTTAAGTAATTTTATTTTATGGTCTGTTAGTTACATGTGATTACTCATATACATCAGACTGCTCCGCTTCTTTTCTCTAAACAGAACTTTTAATAGAGTTCGGATAACAGAACTTTGCAACTGATAGTAGAATTTAGCTGATACAATTATTTTGGAACGTATAGTCAGCTAACCATCCTTTGTTAGTTATCTTGGATACTGAAGTTACACTTTTCTTTTAGAGAATGCACTATGAGCATTCTCTATTACTTGGGAAACAGTAAAAAAAGGAAGAGAAAGACAATGTCAATATTCAGAATATCTGAGTGCTATCTCCACCAAACACTGGGTTTAAATTAATCAAAAAAGCTGCACAAAACATCAAATTTTAAAGGATACTTTACTGATTTTGAATCTTCAAAAAATACCCCACATTGAATGCCTTAGACTACAAGGCGTATTTTCCTCATGTTCCCTTAAAACCACAATGTATATCTCTGCTTTTATTGCATCTGCCTCATACCTTTCCTTGATAAAGCAAACGTTAGTAGAGATTGCATAAGTCTTGTAACGCTGATGAGAACCAACCTATTCCAGATGACACATAAGCACCAAGAAGTGCCTTATAGTCAAATTCAAACAGACCTGCCTTGTAGGGTAAGGACTAGGTAAAGCATTCTTTAAAAATCAAAAATCACTTGCGTTCAGGTCAGTGTTCTAAATAATTTAATTATTGCAGACTCACCTTGCATTACTAGGGCTGGCTGCTGTCAAATTAGCTAATACTGTCACTGCAGCTTCTTTTACCTCTTCATTGTCACTGCTTAGCAACTGTACTAGCTGGGGAATCCCTTTGAAAGAAATAATTGTATACATGAACCTTTAAATAAACCATGGCAGTCTGTGAAATTATAATATGCTCCTTATAAAAGGAAAAAGCACAGATTCTCAGTTCATTCCTTCCCACCTTACTTACCCTGGAGTCCAAATGCACGTTTGCTAGCTAAATTCGCACACATGGCAGACATTGCTTGGGAAGCAGCAACTATAACTCCATCATTATCAGTTTCCAAAAGGTTTATGAGACACTTCTCAACCTCTTCCTCATTTAAGATATTTCTATTTTCCGCTTTAAATGAAAAAGAACAATAGCATTAACCTGCGTTAATTTTCCAGATCAGTGAAAGGACATGATTTTGATTTCATATAGTTGTTTCCAATGTAACACTTGCTTTTGATCCCATGGAAATCAAAACATATTAGTAACAGAGGCACCAGCAATTAAGAAATGTACACAAAGGCCTGATCCAAAACCCATTAGACTTTCAGTGAACTCTGTATCAAGCCCAAAAGATGACTATTAAATAGAGCTTTAAAAACAGATAGCCCAACAGAATGCAAAATTTGTTCTCTATAAGACTTAAAACCACAGAATGCATACAGGCTTGATGAAAACAGCTTTTCCAATTCAACAGATCATACTTACTCAGCATCATGCTTAACTTCGGTTTATGCTAACAAAGCCAAATGCATAAAATTGAAGAACATAGCAGTAAATGTACAATTGAACTTGGTGGAGTACCAGTTAACATACTACAATAGCAAAAAAAACCACAAACCCCAAAATGCAAGGGGTGTTAAAACTGAATTTCAAATTCTGCACAGCTTGCAGTTCTTGATTAATGCACACTTTGCAGAGAATCTCAATTTTGTATTTTAGCATGGTGACACAGGGTTCACTACTGACCTACACTGCAATGATTGGCAGCAGCTAATGAAGGACATAGATGTTCCCTTCCTCTACACAAGTAAAAACATACAGTGTCTACAAAGTATCTACAGACATCTGATAATTACACTAATGAACTCACTCATCCCAAAATGGGTGAGATCGTAAGTGCAGGTGTTTGTTAGAAAGAGCCCTGAAGGTAACCTTCTCAGGCAGAAAGGCACAGGATGGCATAGAAGCCCTACAGTTATGAGGGTCAATAAGCATTTAACCATATGCATAATTTAAAGTGGATTAATTACATGCCAGAAGTTATATCTACATGGCAAAATTTTCAAGTGTATCAAAGAAATTCAGCATCTGAGACATCAGTAGGGGTTTGGTACATTTGGAAATTTTACCAGTGTTTACTAATGCTTTGGGAGAACACTCCCTTCTTTGAACTGTTGGTTTAGGATTAAAAAGTTTAAAAAGGAAAAAAGAACACCATAAGCATTCTTTTAAATAAACCTGAATATGTAGAGAATAAAAGTAGACAGACTAGTCCACAAAACCAAAGAAAAGAAGTTTGATTGAAAACCTGGTTACAGCAGAAATGTATCAATGCACATACACGAGACATTTAGCTGCTTTCTCCTACCCAGCTTCATTTTAAATATTTCTAGAATCATCAGAGATACACAACTGAAATCACAAAGCAAAACATGCAATAAATGAAACAGAAAAGACTTTCAGTGTCAGCAGAACCTTGGCCACAGCCTTGATGAGTATCAGCCAGCTCTCAAGAGAAGGCCGTAACTGGGATTACAGACCATTTTGACAATTTCTCAAGTATGCCGCTGGCCTGTTGCTTTCCAAAGTAATACATGATCCCTAATAATGATCTGTAGATCATTAGATCTCTAGATCTCTTTATGCCTCAGTAATTTGGTTCTTGTACACCAAGTTACTTATTACTATAACAGATTTTCTCAAAAGTTATTCTTCCTTCTAAAGGCAGTTATGATGATGGGTAAGCATTTCATTTTAAAGTTAATTTATGCCTATATGAAATAACAATATGAGTAATTCATTTGAATTAGTGAAAATATCTATTTAAAATATTTTACACAGAATAAAATTTTTTCAACAATGTGAAGAGATTTTGGTTTTCAATTTATGGTAAAGAGAATGTACCTATATTTAGCTAGCTAGACAGATGAAAATTAATATTTTAAGATCCAGGTTCCTATTCTATTTAAAGGATGTATATTTTCTGCTGATCCTCTCTCTGTTTGTGTGAGTCGTTTCCTTTACTATAGAAAAGAAAGAATGTGCAATTGAAAAGCATCCTTTGTACTTAAGCACTTCCGATGTCAGTGCCAACACTGTATTTACAGTGATGAATTTTCTGACCCCTAAGTAATTTGAATACTCTGTTTTAACACAAAGTGAAATACTCCAGCACATCCTACTAAAAGAGTCTGGAGTACTAACACTCCTGTCCATTTTTTCATGCACTGATCCCATCATGAGCCAACCTGTGTTTTCCAATGTATTTTCCTATTTCCCCTTCTTATTCCAGAGGTTCTACTGGTTACTTATTCATCTCATTGTCACCACCCTATGGGATTATTTATACCAATTTCAAATGAAAAAGTTAATGTTAAATAATATCATGACCTCTCACCGATCTTGAGTTGAGATAACCCAGATAAATAAACCCCTGTATTATGAAAAAGCATGTGTTAATCAGGCTACAGAGCATGGCTAGTATGCTCCCCTTTGAAAGGATTTGCATTTAAATACGTGTAAAGAACAGGCAGAGCTTCAAACCAGGTTTAGCAGAGTGAGGCCAAACTCAAGTGAGCATGATCATCACTTTCTTCATACACACTCCGTAACATTTTGTTGTTGCTGGTGTGTCTGGAGCTGTCAGGGGA